TTTAATGGAAATTCCCATATGTTCATAGGCTCTGACTTTTAAATGGCGTTTTTTTTTCTTTTCGTTGTGTTTTCTTGCCGTAGTTTCTCCCCATGATTACTGTTTAGTGTTTTATTTGTTTAATTATCGTTATATTTCGCAACTGTACTTTGAAAATGTATAAAGACTGATGTAAATTCATTTTATTCTTGAAATCATTAATATTTACTGTTGTTTTTAACCTTAGTAAAAAGGAAGTCTCATTATTATGAAACCTTTAAGTTAATATACATTTATGAGTTAAGAACTTGTTGTTGACGTTTAGTGCTATAATAATACCAATAAAATGAAAGGACTGGTGGGTGGGTTTTTCTATGGCGAATGTTTAAAATATAAATTATATTTTTCCTGTAAATATGTACATCAAGAGAGCATCGTAGCAACGTTTGGCGCCAGAAAAAATACGGATTATAAATCTTTACAATCTCAGTTTGTTTGTTTTTTCTTTTGTTTTCTCTGACATCATTAACTTTCCAACGTAGATCGTTGAAATAATTTCATCAATTACAGAAACGATAATAGATGGCGCTGCCTGGTGCTCATCGATATCAACAAAGTTGCCACTGGATACGAAACAGAAATGTAAATTAAAATGTGCGGTAACGTGGCACTCATTACAGTATTAGAGCTGAAGAGCTGTAATGATGACGATGAGAACAAGCGCGATGTAAGTTTTGTTTTTCAAAAAAGACATTTAGTACTCTTCTTTATTAAGAGGCGGCGCCATTAAAAATGAGAAAACACGACATGGATTCACAATTCCATTAGAGTATTAACGTAATACAAAAATGTACGAATATACATCCTTTCATCGCTTATCATTAACAGATGTTAAACAAAGTAAGTTTAAGATGTTAAACAAAGCAAATAAGATGTTTAAGATTATCAGGAAATATTAGAACTTATCAAGGAGTTTTTTTTTAATATTTTCCTCAGGTTTCACATTAAAACATACAAACCTCTACTCGTCTGTAACTATATTTTCCAAATCTCGTAATAAAACACACCACTTTCAAATCATATTTACCCATTATTCTCAGGTTTCACATTAAAACACACCAGCTTCAGATCACCTCTATCTATTATTCTAAGGTTTAACATTAAAACACACCAGATTCAGATCACCTCTATCTATTATTCTAAGGTTTCACATTAAAACACACCAGTTTCAGATCACCTCTATCTATTATTCTCAGGTTTCACATTAAAACACACCAGCTCCAGATCACCTCTATCTATTATTCCCAGGTTTCACATTAAAACACACCAGATTCAGATCACCTCTATCTATTATTCTCAGGTTTCACATTAAAACACATTAGCTTCAGATCACCTCTATCTATTTTTCTCAGGTTTCACATTAAAACACACCATATTCAGATCACCTCTATCTATTATTCTCAGGTTTCACATTAAAACACACCAGCTTCAGATCACCTCTATCTATTTTTCTCAGGTTTCACATTAAAACACACCAGCTCCAGATTACCCCTATATTTCTCAGGTTTTACATTAAATCATACCAACTTCAGCTCATAACTGCTTCATGATTGAGCTATGGTGAAACATTATAGCATTTGCTAATAATCGGATTTTTATTTGATTTTCAAAAGTTCTAAACTCCCAATTTTAAAATGAAATTTTATTTTGCCTTGAAGCCAGAATATATTATCAACTTTTAGGTTTATTTGACCCAGTTTATCATCATCAGCATCAGCATTTCTAAATCATATGATGATGGAAAATAGTACTATTTAACAAGTGAAATCTCGATAGTTCCACTGATCATTGAGACTGAAAATATTTTTTGGTTGTCCCCCCCTCCCTAAGTAAGTGGTTGACTTGTGCTCCCCCCCCCCTTGTACCAGAACTTTTCATGAACAGATAATACGCATCGAAGTAGTCCCATCAGATTATCAACTAGTGTGCTTTAATAACGGATTTCATAAACCGGTCTTGTTTGAAACAACAACTAATCATTACATCGTAATTAATATTTTTACATGTTTTCACCTGTTATGTGTTTCGTTCCATCAGGTTCTCCCGTTTCATCTTCTGCTGGTTGGAGAACGCTGCGTTCCATTTTTTGCAAGCAATTGTTTCTTAGATCCAAAGTCAAGTACCTGATATCCGCCAGGTAGCGCAGCAGTTGTGAAGGTAGTCGGGTGATATTTGTGCCAGTAATTCTGAGAATGAGCTTATGAGAATGATGTAAGCCGAGGAAAGCATCTGGCAGCACGTTCTGCAGATTGCGACCGGTGATGGTAAGATCGCGGAGCTTGGCGCCAAAAGTCCATTGGAGCTGATGTGACAGAGTTGGTTCTTCGACTTCCACTACCACTCGGCGAAGCGAAACGGATTTGTGAAGTAGGTCATGAAGTTGAAAAGATCGAACATCGGCGTACGTGCTGGTCTTGAACGTTTGCAGAAACCTGTGTACAGGAAAGAAATGTCTTAGCGCCTCCTATGGCATATTTGTAGACTAAATATGATATAATGTTCGCATTTTTTTCAATACGTAGGACGTCACTTGAATTTTAAAAACTAGATATGGCACATGTACTGTGGTTGATTTATTATTACATAAGCCCCCCCCCCCCAGTGGCATAGCGGTACGTCTGCGGACTTACAGCGCTACAAACCGGGTTTCGATACCCGTGGTGGGTAGAGCATAGATAGCCCATTGTGTAGCTTTGTGCTTAACTGCAAACA